TTTTTTTTTTAGTGCTAGTCTGGACCCACTAAATTTATATCATTATAAATTGCTATTAGGTAGTGAACTGTCATTTGAAAAACACTTACACTTGAGTTTCCCCAGTACTGAAATATGATACCCCTAGTCTTCCATGTATTCCTCCCAATTGCTATCAAAATAATATATTAGATGTGATATCATCTTTTTCTTTTTTTGAATATTTGGGTATGATATTCATATATATGCTTTTTATGTATTTATACCATCATATAGTATACAGGTTCTTGGTGGGCAAGGCATGTCACTTTATTTTAAATTTTTAAATAATTTGGATTTTTTGTGTGTGTGTATGTGTGTGTGTGTGTGAGTGAGTGACAGAGTCTTGCTCTCTTGCCCTGGATAGAGTACAGTGGCATCATCATAGTTCACTGCAACCTCAAACTCCTGGGCTCAAGGGATCCTCTTGTCTCAAACTCCTGAGTAGCTGGGACTATAGGCACATGCCACCATACCTGACTAATTTTTCTATTTTTAGTAGACACGGGGTCTTACATTTGCTCAGGCTGGTCTCAAACTCCTGAACTCAAGCAGTCCTCCCTCCTCGGCCTCCCAAAGTGCTAGGATTACAGGTGTGAGTCACCATGCCAGCCAATAATTTGTATTTTGAAATCGCAAACTTACAGAAAAATTGCAAGTGTAATACAAAGAAATTCTTTTACCATACTCCATTTCAGAGTAGGTTGCAGACCTGATGCTCCATCACTCCCAAAGACTTTAGTATATATTTTCTTACAAATAAGAATATTTTCCTGCATAACCACAATATAACTTTAACAAGTAGAAAATTAATACAGCAGGAGCTGTGGGGAATAAGAAGAGAAAACAAAGTACAATTAAGAAGATTTAACAATTTGATGACTGCTTAGACAGGGAGGGAAGGGGGAGAAAAACCCATAACATTGTATGCTTGTGTGTATGGGTGAATTGGGAAATGACCAGTGTTAAAAGTGTTTGGTTATTTAACACCTGAATGTTGATATTCTGTGGGAGTATAGTTTAAAAATATTGTATTGCAGTAGTAGAAGAAATGATCACAGATTCTTTGTCATCTATGGTTAAGATTTATTGTTAAACAATTGGGATTTTGAATCAGGTAATAGAATCTATTGAAAAACTTTATAGGAGAAGTGAGATATTTTGGCACTCCTTCTAGGTCTGTGAAGGGAGAGTGTCAGTGAATTAAGAGTAATGAAAGAGAGCAGCAGAGGAATCCACATCTTATATTCCAGTCTTGACCCCTCTCTCTGAGGATCCAGTCCCTAATTTCCAATTGCTGAAGCTCTCCATTTCAAACTCAGTATGACGAAAATTAAACTTATACACTCTTTCTTGACTAGGTTTCCTATTTCTTTTACTTTCTCTTGGTCTAGAAAGCAAGTACTGGCTCTTCCTGCTCTGTAACCACACCCCACCTCTATCTAGTTGATTCCTATATCTTTGAAAGGGCCTTGGAAAAAAACAAATTTCATACTAGCATTATTGCTAATATTTCTGCAATTTTAAGAAAGTCACTTTCTTAAAATGATTTTCTGTAAATTATGATGATTGAACCAAATGTGATAAAATATATTATTTAAGAGCATGATCTCCATAATGGGGCCCTCTTATCTTTTAATCCCTGCTCCACCATTCAGTAGCTGTGTGATTTTGGGTACAGTATCCTCAACTGTAAAATGAGAATAACAGTAGTACATATCTCACAGGGTTTTGAAGATTTAGTCTATATATATGAAATATTAAGAATTGTGCCTGGCATATAGTAATCACTATTTTAGTTTCTATTGTTGTCATTAAGATTTTTTAAATTGTTTGCTCTCTCACTTCCATTCTATCATTTTGTAATGCTGCCATAGGAGCCTCTCTCCTATTGGCCACTCCCCTTATCTCCATTTTCATTATTATCCCATTATCATTCAGGATTAAATTATTTATTAATACACATAAAATGCTTAGGATAATGCCTGGTAGTTAGTAAGTACACAGTAAGTGTTAGCTCTTATTATGATTATTATTATTATTTTCACATCGGTGACCTCTCAAGTCAGTAAGATCATTTCTTGCTCTTACTGGTCCTCTGCCTGTAATATCTCCTACTGTTTAGATTGGTCTTTCTAGAACACTATTCAGATAGTGTTGTTGCTCTGTTTTGAGGCCTTTGGTTCCTAAAAGGAAAAAAAAATCCCAAAACCCATGTTCTTTGGTAGTGATATCACAAGACTAGCCAACGCCAGCTGAAAAAATGGCATTAATGAAAGCGGTAAACTTAAATTTTGAAGTAGTGAAATTTTGTTTTAAGGGCATTGCTTATTAAAATACTGTCATTTTTTTGGCTGGGCGCAGTGGCTCATGCCTGTAATCCTAGCACTCTGGGAGGCCGAAGCGGGTGGATTACTCAAGGTCAGGAGTTCAAAACCAGCCTGAGCAAGAGCGAGACCCCGTCTCTACTATAAATAGAAAGAAATTAATTGACCAACTAAAAATATATAAAAAAATTATCTGGGCATGGTGGCGCATGCCTGTAGTCCCAGCTACTCAGGAGAGTGAAACAGAAGGATTGCTCGAGCCCAGGAGTTTGAAGTTGCTGTGAGCCAGGCTGATGCCAAGGCACTCTAGCCCAGGCAGCAGAGTGAGACTCTGTCTCAAAAAAAAAAAAAATACTGTCAATTTTTTATGGAAAGAAAAGTTGTATTCATGATCAAATTCAGTGGACTTGCTACTTATTTATTTTTAGCAAGGGACTAAACCTAAAATTTTATCTGAAAAACTCTGCAGTTCAGTTAAAATAGAATGTGAAAGTAAAGGTCAAGATGGTTTTATGAGTTTTTTTTTTTAGGTTAGGAAAATCAATTAATGTATTCATTTAGGTTAAGAGAACGAAAGAATTTTAATGTGGTTAGTAATTCTCTATAAATAGCTCTCATTTGTTCACTTCAAAATTTTAAGCCTCTTTTTAGAATTTAAATGAAAATAGCTTCATTTCTCTATATTCAGAATAACACTATTAGCTTTTTGTTAGAAAAATCATAAGACCTTATCTAATTTCTTAAAGAGAAGTCACTTGTTATGTGTTCATTTGCACGACCTGCTCTTTAACCCTTTACTCATCTGAGCTATTTTCATATTTTAAATATTTTAGAGTGTTGTGGAGAAAAGTATTTTTCTCTAGTAAAAATTCCATTGGTTTTTGTTTTTTAAATATTGATAGCCACATAATGCCATTTCACCACAGTTTTAGTTTTCAGATGATTTATTAAAATCAGATTTCTACGTATATTTTTTAAAACTTTGCTGCGGGGAATGGCAGAGTGAGAGTTAACGTGGTACACGGAGGGAAGAGCAGCCCATTGGGGGTTAAATTGCAGAGTCTAATGGAATAATAACTGGTAGCACCATCTGCTGGCCTACTTCCGCAGAAGGAGTCAGTATTTTTAACGACATCTCTAATATTCATGCTGATGCATTTTGATGCTTTGTGCATTCATTTCTTTCTGTGCTTTGTTGGAATCTGGCTATCTGCTTACAGCTATTGAGGAAACTCAGCTTTTTAGTAGTGTTTACAGCCTTTTTCATACCTAGATAGGATGAACAGTAGATACAAACTTGCCAAGGCAGAAATGTGTTGATAAATCAAAATGTGTATTTGTGGAGGGTTGTGCATCTCTTGGTTGCAGCTTGCTAAATAGGCCATTTAGGAATCTTCTTTCAATGCTTTTTTCTTGAGCACTGCCTGGGGTGGTGAAAAAGCAGAGGGCAAGCCTTTGTCTGACGCCAAAAATGTCTTCAGTGAAGAGGCCAAGAGGAAGGGTAAGTGAAAGCCTGAATGAGTGGGAGGAGGAGGGGTTCTTTGGGCTAAAAGGCTAATGGGATTGAATAACCTTCCTTATTACTGGCTGCTGCTGCGGGAGTCGTACTGCATCGCCATCTTGAGCTTGTTGCTGTTTTCTCGAGTCTTGGTTATTTGTTATAGCCTGTAGGCCTTAAGGTGGCATTTTAGTGAACGATTCTAAACCCTCCTTCCTTTCCCAGTGCTGTAGCACTGCTATGAAACCTTTGATGAGGCAGGTATAGAAAAGATATCCAGTAAAGCACACTGGAATCAGCATGAAAATGTGTTTGGAAATTCCTGATGTTTTTTTCCTTTGCTATAGTCAGAGGCATGTTTACGGGTAAGAATATAACAAAACTGTGATCTAAGTATATGTGGATGAATGCGTGTTTGAAGAGGAAATTCTTTTTAAAATGCTCTTGATCTGCTTCCTGTGATATTGCTAAAATATTAATAATTTTAATGTAAAACTATAAAACTTGTTTCTTTCCCGAATTGCTTGAGCAAAATAATTATGATATAGAAAAAGAAAAAAAATTCACATTTAACTCTTTCATGGGAAAACTAAAACTTTCTCTAATTTTAAGTATGGGAATGTCTGTTTACTAACTAGCTATGTTGCTGCATTAAAATGATTTAAATGATTTCAGGTTCTAGTGCTAGTCTTAAAGGAAAGGATTTATTTTTCTAAAAATCACAATAAACTGTAAGGAGTGGTCATTCTAAATAAAACTATTTTTAAATTTATTAATAATGTTCAGAGTTTTGGAGTAGAGACGAAAGAAAAGATTTTTATTCCAAATACACAGAATACTTACAGGATAAAATTTTAATCACTATATTTACAGGACAAAATTTAAATCAACTAACCAAGAATGCTGTGAAAATATCAATGAATCTATATTATCCTTCTTTAACCCTCATTCTAAAAAGTAGCAGTTGAGCTGTTTATACTAATTTCTAGATAAGCAAAATGTCTTAATTTTAAATTTGTATGTAGCACTCACATAAACATTTGCTCATGTAATTTTACTTCTCTATTTAAGCTTAATTTAAGAAATTTAGATATTTATGTCAGTTGTTTTAGATGTGCTTTGGTGTATTCTATAAAAAAATATTTTGGTTTCTCTAGCCTCCATCTTCCAAGAAGAGTGATGGTTCTGGGACATATACTAAGTTGCAGAATACCCAGGTGAGGGTCATGTCTGAGAAGAAGCAGAGAAAAAAGGTGGAATCAGAAAGCAAGCAAGAAAAGGCTAATCGCATAATATCAGAGGCCATAGCAAAAGCAAAGGAGCGTGGGGAACGCAATATTCCACGAGTAATGAGCCCTGAAAACTTCCCTAGTGCTTCAGTTGAAGGAAAAGAGGAAAAGAAAGGTAGAAGGATGAAATCCAAACCAAAGGACAAAGACAACAAAAAAACAAAAACATGTTCTAAGTTAAAAGAGAAGACAAAAATTGGGTAAGTTGGTTAAGAATTAAATTTAATTCCTTTCAATTTTTTTTCTTTCTTTCAGAATATTATGGGGGTACAAATGTTTAGATTACATATATTGCCTTTGCCCCACTCGAGTCAGAGCTTCAAGCGTGTCCATCCCCCAGTCAATATTTTCTGAAAGTGCAACCTGTCTAACCGTCTACTTTTGATTTGAATGTGATATGTTTACTCCCATATTAGTTTTAAATTGCTAGATACCATGTGTACCTTATTTCCTTTTTGAATGAATTAGATAATATTCCAGGATCTCCTAAATTTTATTGTTCTGTGAACATGGGTTTTTGTGCATTAATATTAGTAAAAGGGATTTAAGATAGGAAAATGTTTCAGTATATGAAAATAAAAAAGGAAAAAACATAATAAAAAATCCATATTGCTATGCCAGTTCCAAATTTACTTTCTTCACAGAACATGCATTGCAATTCTTTATAAGATTTCTTTACCTCTTAGTTGAACTTGTGCTTCACTGAGTGCCTCATAGTTTGGAAACATGAAATACAGCATTATAAACCCACAACTTTTGACTAAATGGAATGGCAAGAAAACTAAGACCATATAAACAATAAGCAGCTCCCAGCTCTTACCGATTTACTTCCATACAGACTGATTTACTTTATGTAATAAAGAGGCCAGGTGAGGATTAATGCTCCTAGAGAAGTGTAAGAACAAAGAATTGCTCTAAAAGGATACATTAATCCTATGTATTTTTATTTGACTGCTTATCTAATACATTTTCAAAAACTAAATACAATGTTATTTGCTTTCTATGTGTGTTTTATATAATCTAAGGTCAACATAGCTTAGAATTGTTTTTGCAGGACTATTTGGTAATTACTGAAGGCTTTATGTAGTTTTACATTAAGTGCATAATGTAAGTTTTCTCTTTTTCACACACACAAAAATACACAATAAAGAAAGAATTCCCTTATGAAAATCTTCATTTGCTTAAGTAATTATTGATACTTTATATAGATATTTAGAACAAAAACAATTTATAAACCACATTAATTCTTAGCATTTTATTTTATTTTTATTTTTTTATTTTTATTTTTTTTTTATTTCGGCATATTATGGAATTCTTAGCATTTTAAATGCAGCCACCAGATTATTTAGTTTGGTCCTGATGCCATTCATTCCAAACCATTAAATAATATGGCCTCTCTTGTTATAGTATATCAATAAGTAATACTATTGATTTTGCATTTTGTTTGCAGACAGTTAAAATGAAATTTGAAAGTTAGATTTCTACTCCTTTTATTTTTTAAAGGTATTTGGTATGAAAGTAACTTATTTTTCTAAAATTCTATCTAGTTTTAATTTTAGAAACCCCATATTTAATCTTTTGCTATACTAAAAGTTAATATAATTAAGATTTTTCAGTTTTAACTTGGCTCAGAGATCTAGGCAGAATAATACACCATGTTGAAGGGTAACATTTTGAAAAACAACTCATAAATCAAGAAGAAATCCATGAATTTCAAAAGTTATAGTAGCTATTATTTGCTTTAAATTTGGGGGGAACAGCTAGAGGCAAAACATACCAGAGTGAATCTGGTTTAAGAAAAAGCATTGTACATAAGGGAAAATTGTAAATAATTAAATTAGAGAGAAACATAGATTTTTAGGAGAATATGAATTGATATGGTAGAGGAGTAGTTGCACTGCAGTGGAGTACTGACTCTTTTTGTGATGTTTGTATTTTTATTAGAAGTTGGTAGATTATTCACAATAAATTATTTTAATATTGCACAGCATTAATCAATTAGTTTTTAGAGGTGTAGTCTGTACAAAACAGAGAAAATAGATGGGAATTGTACTAGAAATGATATTCTTCCTGTTTTGGCTAAATACACGGTAAGCTATTGAGTAGTTGCTAGAAAAGAAAAGTTGTTGAAGTATAAGCCTTTCTGATAGAGGAATTTATAAATGGCAGGCAGGTAAGTAAAATTGAAGCTTGCCTATGTGTTATTAAGCTGTTAGAGTAAAACAGTATCTTGACCATCTGTATTAGTCAAAGACAAAAATGATCATCATGTTGGAAGAAAAGGCATAGTTGGAATAAATGAAATTTGCATACTGTCCAGACTTCCAGTATTAGGCATTTGAAATATTTCATTACTGTGTGTTTCAATGAGCCTCTATAATTTATAATTTTGAATTTGCTGAATTTTTAATGTTTGTGTGAAGAATCATTTAAATAAAGTTCAGTAGCATCATTTTAACTAGCAGCATTTTATGATATATTAAACATTTTCTTTTAAAAATCTTATTTTTCTATTAATTTTAGCAGAATTGGGCTGTTATTAATATCAAATGATATCAGTTAATTTGGAAGGCAGTGTATGATGCAGCTTAACCACTAGTAGTGAGAAATATAAATTTAAAAAGCAACTAAAATTTGCAAACAATAATTTATGGTTCATATCTAGCCAGGGATTGTGTTTCTTTAACCCATAGATGTGATTTGATGTAATCTAGGAAGACTAATTTGAAGAAAAATAATACTGCCTCTGCTTGCTAATGTGCATGAAACCTTTTTTATTATGTGTCACTTTTATAGATTGATTTTTTTCAATGCAAAAAATATCTTTTTCGGAACAGTTTCTTATAGTCTCATTTAATTTTTACAATTTCGTGAGTTAGACTAGGTATGCAGTATGATAATATAGTTAAATTCTTTGGCTCTGGAGCCAGTTGCATTTGTTCAAATCCTAGTTTCATCACTTATACTCAGTGTAACCCCAGACAAAATACTTAAGCTTCACAAGCTTTGTGTTCCTCATCTGTAAAATGGGGGTGATGGTAGTGCTTGCCTTACAGTGTTATTTTGAGGATTAAATCAGTTAATAACATTTGAAGCATATAAAACAATACCTGGAATATGCTTAACACTCTGTTAATATTAGCCATTATTGTTTTCTGAAAATATAAATAGCATGTAGCTATTTAAGGAAAAAGCCAAGGCCAGAAGCCACACCCCTTCCTTCAAGCCATTCAGCTACCTAGGTTCTCCTTCCATTAAGGCTCTGTTTCTAAAAAAAAGTCAAACAGGAAAACATGGTTGCTACTTGTTAAGGAGAATAATCTTTGGCATGAGCATGCCTCTGCTTATCAGGTTATCTAAAGTAACATTTAGAATAAATAAATTTTGTTTGAAATATGCCTGGAGTTTGAGGACTTTGCTCATGGTTATGTGGAAGGGTGTGAGTTGAAATGGAAATGGCAAGTACAAAGTGAAGGGCGAAGTAAGACTTGAAAGCAACCTTTTTCTACTTTGATGTTTTTCCTGACTCTCACAGTCAGCTTCTAAAAAACTGCCTTTCACGTAAAATAGCAGGTATTCCTTCAGTAATGGTGGGTACATATTAGATGATCCATGAATGGAATGGAAAGGAATTTTATGGAATGAATAGAAAGACGATTAAATATTAAACAATACCAAATGGTTGAATTTGATTTGTTAAATTGAGAGCAAAAATGGCAAGCTAATTCATGCATAAAACCACAGGGACAAAACTAATGGTTTAGTAATAGTATTTATGTTTTAAAATAAATTAGTAAAATTCATTCTAAGACCTCCGATAGAATTTTCTTATGGCTCCATTTGGTTTTAAATTATATAATGGGATTTCACATGATTTGGTTAAAGAATTTTTAAATTTATTGTTTATTACTGTGACATTTAAATTATGTTTCCATGTTGTCAGTTAGAACTTCTTTATGTTACTGATTATTTAACTGACATAAGTAGAATGCTTTTGGTGCTCAAAAATGTTCTCATAGTTCTATAAATTTAATCAGTTATCATTCTTCATGATTAAACTTAAACTCTTTCCTTTTTATAGTATTCATAATTATTCTTTCTGTTTGTTGTAGGAATATTAGTTATCAGGTACTAGAAGTAGCTTTTCTATTTAGTTAAAGCAGAAAATATCTAAATGTGGATATATTTATCAAACTCTAGTAAAAATTAAGTATTAAGTCATGTTATTAAGAGAAACAATAAAACATTAAATTAGGTCTCAAAATTATCTTGTGCTTTTGTTTGTTAGTCTTTTGAACCTCCAAGAAAGGAGGAAGAAAATAAAATTTATTAATCTCCTGCTGTCATAAATACATATGTATATGTATGTACTTTTTAACAAAACTAACATGTATGTCCACATGTATGTCTTTAAAGAGACATTTCCATTTATATAGTAAAATCTAAAGGAAAAATAATGACAAAATCTGAGAGAAAAATAAAATATTAGAAATTGTCACTTTATAGTCTATTAATAAAGTTACGTATGAGGCTCTGCTTCAAGTTTTTCTAACTGACAGGAATTTTGAAATAATATCTGCTTGAATAAAATATACATGTATTCATTAATTGTTAGTGTATAATAAATGAAAAGCAGTTGTAAAAATGCATGGTATAAATTTATTATGATTTTTTGATTATTAATTATATACCATTAGTAGACATAAGTTCTATAATTTTTCAAAGCCAAGCAGATAAAATGTTTTACTGATTTTACTGCATACTTCTAAATTATAAAACTCAGTGAAAATCTGGATCATATTCATCTTTGGAAAGAGTTAATATATACCTTACATATTATTATGAATTTTGAATAAGATTTACAGTTCCATTTAAAAAAAGTTTTCCATTACATTAAACATACAAGTAAGGTTTATCATTAGCAAAAAGTTGTACATATGGCACTGAATCTAATTTATTATGAGATATACCATTATTTTTATGTGTCAGAAGGAAACAAAAATATTGCCAGTTAAAACTATGGCATATCTTTGGGTTATTAAATGAATCCAATTGCAGAGGTGTTAATATTTGAAAAAATGTGTATCGTTTAAGAATTCAGCTGTGCTGATAAATGTATTGACTGATTAATACTTAACTAATAATTGAATCCTTAGTGATTATTTATATGAAACAACTCAGTGAATTTCACCTTTTTGTA